GCCTTACCCACAATACTCTCTCTCTCTCTGGCCCCAAACAATGCTTTTAATAGAACCTGTAGAAATATTTAAATTATCCCTACGTGTGTCAAATTTTCTTCTTTTACATCTTGATAGTTTCAATAAGAATCTAAATAAGGTCCACACTCTACAATTATTTGAAATTTTAAGACTTCCTTAATTTATAGTTTTCTTCCCCCCCCCCCCTTTTTTTCCCCTTTGGTCTTCTTGCCATTTAATAAAACAATTCACTTGTCCAGTTCAGATTCTAATGGGCTGGAATTTATTTAATGCATGACCACATTCTGTTTAACGTATCCCTGTTCCTGTGTTTTCTGCAGATTATTAGATCTACTGGCTTGACCAATATAGTTCAATCATTTTTGGCACAAGTTCTTCCAAGGTGACACTGTAAACATGTATAAAAGGAGCACATAATGCTAGGTTGTTGCATTCTCTGTGATATTAACAGGCCCTCTCTGTGATATTAGCAGGCACATTGATCATTGTTAAGATCCATTATTTCATTAGGGGCAAAACTCAAATTATAAACTGAATTTGAAAATAATCACTGATACAGTGTAACATCAGTTTGATTTTGCTTTTTAACCTAAAAAAATGGGATGACTTGCAATTTAACAATAGAAAATAGAGAGGCTTCAGGTTTGTACTCCTTTTTGGACGTCCAGGTTAGTAAACTATAAGGAAACAGCTTGTGGTTCTCTAAGAGGTACATTGATCGTGGGACTTGGGGCTGGGGAGGGAGGAACAGTATGGAGTCTAGGTGTTCAAGGAAATGAGAATCAGAATGAGATCACATTTGTGAAAGTATTTTAAATACAAAAAAAGCATTAGTTTCTGCTGAACAGGCAACTATGCCAAGTGCCATCTTGAAATGCATGATAAGATTACTAGTATCTTCCAAGAAAGCCCTGAGTTTTGAGTTTTTAGTGAGAGGAAAACAAAGCTGTCTCCTGAAATCCAGTGGAAACTTATTTCTGCCCAAGTCAAAAATCCAGAAGCCAAGTTCAGCTCAAGGGTCAGGGACACATGGCTTGTTTGGGAAAGGCCCCAAGTTTGAATCCTAGTTCACCATGGCCCCTGAGCACTACTGGCCTTGGAGAACTCCAAGCACATCAGGTATGGCCCTAGCAACCCTGGGTACTCCTGGGCTCAAACAGTGTCATCCCTGGGTCTTAGCACTGAACCTTCCATGCCCTGTTGGCCAAGTACCACCTCTCACTGCTTGGGGGGGCTCAAAATACAGGGCACTCTAGCTTCTAGGTTAATGCTTCTGTCTAGATGGGCATAACTGTGGCATGATTTTGCAAAACAGCTGTCTTTCCTCCTAGGGGGAAGGACACCCAAGGCTGTCCCTGAATAAGATTATCCTTCCTGAAGAATCTCCATTTCAGATATATATCATTTGTTAGATTGACAGACTGAAGGATGAGACCAAGCTGTTCTAGAGGAGGAAGAGTCTTTGAATAGATAGACCACGAAAAGAACAGTTAGGTGATTGACAGAGTTTAGTTTAGCACTTTGGAAATACTTTTTTGTGCCAGACACATACTTTGTTCTTGAAGCAGTAAAACAGCAGAATAAAAGGTGTGAGCTTTAAAGAGTTCTATTTAGAAAGCTACACCAAATAGGCAAAGCCTTTTCTGACTGTTTAAACTTGTAGCTTACTAATTGCTCAAAAAATTTTAATCAAAGACATTTTAAATGGGAATTATTTTAAAAGAATATTTAAAAGTCTAACCTCAAATTGCAATTTTAATATAACAAAATGCCCCCCTCCCTAATTAAAAAAAAGTCCAAATGCTCTGGGTCACAGAAAAAAATACAACTTACCTAATATCACAGGAATTAAAGTCCCCAGAGGAAAGGACAAAATCTGTTCTGTACTGTGCCACAGGTATGAAACACAATGACTGTTACACAGTAGGTGTTCAATAAAAACACCATGAATGAATAAGCAAGCTGAAAGCCTAAAATTATTAAACCAAATATTCCCACTGCAAGATAGAACCTGTAAAAAGGAAAACAGTAAGTTGAGTCTTGACAAGCTGTCATCTAAAAAATCCTAAAGGGGCTTAATAAAAGTGTGGGGTTGATACACCCCATGTCTAGAAAGTTGTAAAACAACTGGAAAAGGTCCAGAGCCCAGCCTGACTTGCTCCAGATGACAGAGGATGACAGCCAGACGTACTGTTTGCATTCCTGCTTCTGCCTTTTGGTAAGCACTTTTTAGTCCAACAAAATCTCATTTTTAATTTACTCTAATATTTATAAGTCGAGTGATTAAATATCATTAGACCAGACTGGCCTTCAGGATACCCCTGACAAGCATTTTCCTGACTGTTCTTTACATAGATTATACCCAAACCAGCTAGAAATCATTCCTTTCCTCGTGAGGGAGCCTTTCAGGTGTGTTACCTGGTTTCATTCCTATTCCAGAAACAACTTCCTCACAGATTTCCTTTAAAAGAAACTCCCGGGGCCCTCCTCATCCCTGAGTCTCCATAAGCCTATCTGAATTGACTGCTCAGATTTTCCAGTCATTCCATGACTTGCAAGGCAATTGCTTACAGGCGCTTAGTATCCTGACATTGGAGCTCCAGCCTTTGTCTCAATGAATCACTTATCAGAAAGGTTGTGACATTCAAGACGGGATTTTATACCTTTTTCAGAATGGCTGCCTATGATGTAAGCGATCCTAAACTTTAAAAAATCATCAGCTTTCCCACTTCCTCAAATCCCTGATGAAACAGAGAAATACAGGAGAACATCAGGGAACTCAATACTTGGACAAAGATTATTTTCAACTGTCAGAGTGTCAGAGTGTCCCCTGTCCCCAGGTTTTTCCATCTGGGAACACAACACTGCCAACTTAGTTCTATGGCTGGAGTCTTGGAGCTGGAAAGAACTAGGCTAAAATAATTATGGAGGATATTTAGAGAGCATGAGAATAGCAAGGAGAGATTTTTTAAAAAACAAACAAACAAACAAACAGACAAGAAAAGAATTCACCACTTGTTGGTTGTCGGCAGATCACTCTTTGACAGTACAATTACATAGCTGCACCCAAGTTAGTTCATCCTCGTGAAAATGCCACCTAGAGCAATGAGGGTGGGGAGGAACAGTTGGGAATCAGGGTTATAAACCTGGTTGAGCCTGGCAATGCATATAATCATGGAGTCCCTTCCTTTAGTCTCTAAGACTCTATCTCAGTGACCTCACAAGATATGTATGGCAAGTGGAGTTGCTTCAAACCACAGGCCTGTCCCGTTGCCTTGTAAAGTGATTATTCATATAGTGTTCCACCATAGTCCTGTGTAATCAGAAGGCTTGAGTAGAGCATGAAAGCGCAGTAGAAGCTGAGTCTAAGAGCACTGTGTAGGTGGCCTTTCCATTTAATCCAGGTTCCAGTAAACAGTGCTTTTCAAAGCAAAGAAAAAAATACAAGATGGATTGTAGAGAAAACGTGATAAACATGGTGTGATACTAGAGAGATTCTTCCTGGGACCCTTTAAAGTCTTTTCATTGGTTTAATTGAAAGGTGTATGAAAGGTTTTCACAAACAGATGAATGAAACTCCCCATGGACATGAGAATTGCCAGTTCTGATGAAAGAGAAGGAGGAAGGAAAGTTCTTGTGGGTCTGAATTCAACGTGAATGGGAAACGGGAGGGGAAACTGAGGCTTCTGAGAGATCTTTCCTATCAACCAGTACAAGATTGAGGCGGGGGGGGGGGGGGGGAGAGGGAGCCAACCATGTGCTCATCAGTCACTTGGTGCACTGGAGCTGGAAAACATTTAACCCTGAGATACAAATCATCTACTTATGCTGACTCCAGGTGACCAGAATTTTTGAATGCTTAGGAGTCAGGCATTCCCATCCCAATGTGATCATTCATTTCACAGCATGAATGTCAGATCTCTAGGACCTGCTCTAGCAAAGGAGAAAGCAGAGAATCTGTATTCTCCTAAAAGGTCTGCATAACAAAGACAGAGCCTCCCTCAAAATCACTTAAAAGAAAAAAAAAGACACATCCCAAAGGGCCACTCCCACCCATCCCGCCCATTCCACACACAAGTTTCCTTTCTGTTTGCACCATTAGGTCAGAAGGTTAATGAAAATGCACTTTAAAATGATAAAAAAAAAAAAAAAAAAGACGAAACCAGGCATGAATTAGATTTCCACGCAAGTCTGAATATTCCATCTGGGCATTAAGACAACCCCATTAGCTTCAAAATCTTACAGTTCTGTCCACAATTGCTGGGATAGGTCTGAGATGCTCAGGAATTTGATGGTTGCTAATTGCTTGCCCAGGAAACTCTGCTAGGAGGACAAGTTGGAGCCCGGCTTAAAAGTAAAGCACTGCAGGCTTTCTCTGCAGCCAAGTGTCAGAAAAATGTTGCACTTGGGGCTAAAGGAGAGGTAGGGTTTGAAATTTTCATTTTCTCTTATGTATTTTTTTCTTTTCTCTCCTCTTCCATTCATCTTTTGTGTTTCTTTCTCCTGTATAAAACAATGCCATACCTTAGGAGAAATCTGTAAATGCACAGTCATATTTCCTCTGGAGTCACTTAAAAATAGATTTAGTTATTTCCTGAGAGCATCAATCAACATTGAAGGAAAGAGTTCATTGCACCAAGCTGAGCCACTCTAGCAAGTGGCTTTTCCAAGCAAATATTCTACCATGATGCTTTGATTGAAGGGTGACAAGGAACCAGCTTCACTCTGCTCACACTTCACGTCGAAAGGGAAAGTAAATTGCCACAGAAGACAAACCAACTGGAAAAGACTCATGCTTTTTCCCTCTTATTTTGTCTTGTGAGGTTTTCACAATGGCTTCAAAGGAAATGCGAATTAATCATTTGTTTTGACCCAAGAGCAGCAGAAACTTATTTTGAAGACTTAAACAGGCGACACAAACGTAAACAGAAATCTGGGACTCCCAAATGCCAAAGCCGAAAAGAGTTAGTCTGCAGACATCAATTCTACTCAGCATTTATTTTCATTTGAAGAAAGTGGAAATCAAATATAAATCACGGACAATACGAGTTCTTCTTGCTTGGCAACTGTCCACACAAATCCATTAACCTCTAAGTATAACAGATACAGCATTTTTTTTTAATAGAAAGACAGGGTACTATGGCAGTTAATTAGCAACTGATACTGTAAACTACAGTAGATACAAAGTTTTGTCATATAAATTAATTGCCATTACAAAAAGGCAACCGCTTGTGCCAAGAAGGTACAAAAATGGGTAACTTCCATAAATATAACAAGAAGCGAAGTGAAGAAATACATAACAGACTGTTTTTCCTATATAATAGTGGAATATGCAAAGTAGGCCACCTGTGGCACTTTATGTGAATATAGGAACAGGACATCACCACAGCCACACACCCGCCACCCGCCACCCACCCACATAGGCCCAGCCGCCTCCCCTCCCCGCTGTGGATTTCCCAAACGTGGCAAATTCTAGGGTTAAGAGGACAGGAGGCCTCGCGGAAGCAGCAAGACGGCTCTCCGAACTGCTAGACAAAGAAGGAGCCTTATTGACAGTTGTAAAGCATTAGGCGTCAGACAGAAACTTGTCAAAAACAGCTGTTGTTGGGTACTGATGGATAATGTTTTCATTCTGACGGCTGAGATGCTGCAGACAGTCACGGGCCTGAGAAGCAGCCCATCACTGGCGCACACATGAACACACACACAGACAACGCGAAGTCATTTAACAGATGGCTTGGGAGTGCTCAGACACACTAGCTTAAAAAGACAACATCCGATATTGGATGAACGGGCCGAGAAAGCAGCGCCTAATAATCATTTATTTTCTCAGAGGCGATGAGCACAAGAAGACAGAGTAAAAATCAGGATTTGGGTAACTGGTCATCGGAATGAAAGTTCCATGCTCCTCCTGATGAGGCGGTGTGAAAATATTCTGGGATGCTCCCTGACAAAACTGATTTAGGACTCTTTTTTGGACCTACTCTGTTGGGAAGAGAAAATGTTCGATGTTTCAAAGGCAATGTTCACATAAAATTTTCCCTACAGGATTAAACCACACAAACTGTATTTGAATGACGCCTATCTTCTGGAGAGTTACAAGGGATTACATCACCCTGTAATATCAGTGTGTCTGTGGGTTTCAGCTTATGCTACCTAAAAATTATAAACATGTTTTCATTGCTCACATGTAGGGAGCGATTTTTTTTAATCATTTGACCACTATGTGCATAAAGTAGTCAAAAATCTACAAAATGTGCCAAAGAATATTTTTAACCATAAACTTCCAAACTATAGGTGATTCTGATTTAGAAAAGGTCAAAGGCTCTAAATCTTAGTGAAACTGTGCATTTTTTCCCTCTATGCAATTTGTTTTTTTAAGTTACACAGGGGCAAAAAGTTCCAAATTGAATTCAAGCCCTAAAATTATTTGCTACAGCTCCAGTACTTTTTTAAGGGCACATTGAAACCCCTGAAAATAGAGGTTTATAATAGAAATACTGATAGACCTTTAATTACTTAGATGGAGACATTAATAGGCTCCATTAAACTCCATTAGTACTTAATGAATGAATATACAGATGATTCTGTCTTTGTTATCTTTGTCAAATCCATGCCAACCTAAATCTTAGCCAGTATAAACCATACTTCATTTGGTTATTCAAAAATTTTTTATCTATTGTTTTAAAAATTATGGTCTCTATTCAAATCAAACACAAGAATTTTAGAAAAAGATACCTATATTGTATTGTAGCTGACTTTATGTGGGGTAATTTTTACACTAAAAAATATTTGAGGACTTGACCAAACAGCAATCAATGACCATACATTGTGCCTTAATTTCCTCTCTTCTCGAACAAACAAATAACCAAAAACAATGTCTCTGCTCTCAAAATAGGGAGGGGAGTGAGACTTGGGAGGCCGTCAAGGAAGCAATGTGCATCTTGTCTTTCTATGGCAGAAGAGTTCTTTCTGAAGAGGTGAAAAATTGCAGGTTTTGGTGCTCATTTATCTCTCATAATCTATGAGGCCAGGATACAAAACCCCCCAAATGAAAATTAAGTAAAACCTCCAAGAGCTCTTGAAAGTGACACACATAGTATGAGGAGGCCCAGACACACAACCCAGCACCTCCAAACACAGGGAAATGAGCCAAGGTTCTTTGCATTTCGCTGAGCCTCTCACCAGGGATTTTACTTGTCTGAGCCACAGATTCCGTTTATTTTAGCACAGAGAAGGGCAGGGATGCGGAGGACAACAGAAGGAAGAGACATGCGGTGTAGAGGATTAGTGGTAAATAGAGAATATTCTCTCTCAGTAGTGTGTACTTGACGCGAATGCCGATGAGACTTCACTTGATGGAAAAAATGTTCACTGTCATAAAGAGATGAGAATCTGAGATAGCTAAAGGAAAGCAGAAGCCACGAGAGTCTGGATACCAAGATAAAAATGAAAAACGAGAAACAAGCACGACAGGTTCAAGGCGGTTGGGGAACCCGTTCTCTGAGCCGCATTTACATTCTTCCAGTCTCATGGTCCTTCTCTTCCAACAAGCTGATAAGCTGAGAGAAGCTGTCCTTCAGGGAATCCAGATCATCCAGGGAGCAAGGCTGCAGGATCCAGCGTTTGCCCCGTGCAAGGGGTTCAAGTTCAAAGTATTTTTTGACCTGGATGTGGGGGAGGAAGAGAAATAGGTTACTGATTTGATTGGAACTTATCTCCTACTGAAACACTGACAAGGATGCAGTAAGGGGATTGCCAAGGGGAATGCAACCAAACTGAGATGTCCAAGCATTTCTAGAACACCATCCACCACTGTTCCTATAAATGCGGGTGATATGCTGTGACCCCAGAGTTGTTTTTTTTCTCCAGGGGTGAATGACCCACTTTCAAGCCAACCCATCCATCTGCTAATAGCCTGGGAAGCCTGATGAGGTCTAAAAAAGAACTCTGTGTGCTGAGACATGGGGTAAGTCACACTGAAGAATGCCAAAAAGAACCACTTAAGCCCCAAACTTGAGCACAGCTGCCTTCACTATCCTGCAAACTTATTCAATTGGCCACAGCCTGTAATATGTACTACGATACTTACTTAGCAACTTGGTTAGTTGGGTCTTCAGACACACAAAAACAACAAAATAGGATCTACATAATATTTCCTTCCTCCCATAAATTTCTAGTATCTAATACAGAGACCTGGGAAAGTAGATTTTGTTTTGTTATGTTTTTAAAATAATTTGTTTGTTTTTTGGTTTTGGCACCACGTCTGGCCATGCTCAGGGCTTACTTCTTTCTATCTCTCTGCTCAGGGGTCATTCCTGTCAGGGCTCGAGGAACATATGGGTGCCGTGAATGGAACCTGGGTTGGCCGCATGCAAGGCAAACACCTTACCTGCTGTTACTACCTCTCTTTCCCACGGGAAAGTAGTTTCTAAGAAAGGGAAGAGGGAGCTGGAGAGATAGTAGAATGGGCAAGGTGCTAGTCTTGCATGGAACTGATCTGGGTTTGTTCCCCAGCACCACATATGATCTCTGAGCACAGAGCCAGAAGTAAACCCCGAGTGCCACCAAGTGTGGCTCAAAAACAAAGACAAAATTAAAATGACACAAGGATAAAACTGATTGCATGCATGTCAATTTGACAGTTTTTCAGTCTATTCTCTTACCAGTTTCACATTTTCAGGAATGGAAAAATAAAGACCAGAGAGTTGGCAGAGCAGGTAGAGCATTAGGTAGCTTCAAAAAAACTATTCAATTCATAATGAGTCACAAGTTACTCAGTGTAGTGGTTAGGGTACAGATGCATTTTCATGTCCTGATCTGAACAAATACCATACTGTTTTGACTTTCAGAGGCATTAATCTCCTCTCAATAAGAATGAAAAAATGCAAAGTTCACGTAACTCCTTATATGCACATGTGCACACACACAGAGACACAGATGCAGACACACTATCACAGAGAAGAGAACACTGCCAGGGATAGCTCGAGGCACAGAACATGGCTGCCGGTTTCATCCCACCACCATCCCACTTGAGCTGAGATTACCATGGCACAGCTTGGGGTCCTCCCGCCCACAACCTGGTGTGTGATAGACCATAACTCTAGCATACATCCCCAAGACATGAGATCTCTGGGCACTGCATGTTGTTGCTTTTGATGATGGGGTTGCAATGGCCAGGAATCTCTCACAAAAAAAAAAAAAGAAAGGAGAGGAGGAGGGAAAAAACGAAAAAGAAAAGAGTGTTTGTATTTATAGTTTAACCATAAATATAATAAAATAAATATAATAAAATATATAGTTTATATAACATAAATTTCAGACAGTAGCAACATCAGAGAGGCATTCTTCAAAGACATTTTTTGGTCAACAAATTTCATTAAATTCCATGTACCATGGAAAATTCCAAAGTTTTGTTTTATTCAATACTTGACCCAGAAAAAAAAAAGTGTCCCAACCTTATGCCTTTTGTAAATGTGGTTTCACTTTGTCTTTATCATCACCATCACCAAACTATTGTTAGCAGCAGAGACAAACCATCCACAGTGTACTAATATTTGTGTATGTTTCCACGTGAGCAAGATCTATGTAAGAAATATGTTTTCATGCTAATCTTGGAACCACAAATATGCTGACATTTTAACATACTCAGTAGTTCAAGAGTGTCCCGCAATTCCTCTATAGACCTGTATATTTGTAATAAATAACTACTTAAGCAAAGACTGTAGGAATTAAAGGAATCTCATTAATTTAGATTCTGGAGAGTAACAAAAATGTCATATACAGATCAGAGTATAGGTCACAAGACTTTGGCACAATTTCTGACCAAAGTTTTCTTTTGAGGGGGAAGGGAAGCATACCCAGTGGTATTTGGGGGCGATTCCTGGCATGGTGCTTGGGGGTCACTCCCAGAAGCACTTAGGGCACCATGTGGTGATGTGGACTGAGCTCAGGGCTCAAGCACGCCAAGCAAGCACTCTATCCTTGAGCCTCCTGCCTGGTCCTGCTCTGAAGGGATCTTAGAAATCATACTGTTAGGAGAATTCTCCTGTATGGGAAAAGTAAACTCCATTCTTTTCATTTATTTTCCTCAGTATTGGGGAACGAGTCACCCCAGAGATCAAATCTGTCCTACTGGGGAGGAAGGGCCAGTCATCAGAGCAAGGGAGCCAGCAGCCAGGAGGGAAGTGGGGAGGAGAGGAAGAGTTGGCAGGTAGGGAACATGGTTACCTGTCCCCTAGGAAGAGGAACAAGTAGCTCTAAAGAGTTTACGAGCAGGGATTCTCCTTTCCTTGTTTCTGCTCCAGATGAGATTTCAGATGGCACTGAGACAAATAGGGATCCCTGTGGTCATGCTGCAACCCTCTATTAGATCAATGATACATCCAATCAAGAGGAGACCACATGAATACCTGAGGTCTGATACATGAAGCCAGCTGTGCCCTTGGGCCAGAGAGAAAGTACAGCAGGTAGGGCATTTGCCTTGCACACAGTCAACCTGGGTTCGATTCCAGGCATCCCATATGGTTCCCCAAGCACTGCCAGGAGTAATTTCTGAGTACAGAACCAGGAGTAACCCCTGGGCATTGCTGGGTGTGACCCAAAAAGAAAGAAAGAAGAAAAAAAGACAACTGTGCCCTTGTCATAGTTTACAATCTTAAATATGAAAGTTTTGCTAGTAACTAGATAAGTTAAAATGAAAAATTTGCATTAAAATGCAAAAAATGACTAACATAGTAAGAATACAGCAACAGCAATACTCCTCCAAATGGTTCACTTACTAGTTCACAGAACTGATTTTGGTAGCAAATTAAGAGCGAATTTGAGAGCAATAATAGATTTCAATAACTGCAAAATTTAATGTGATATCCTGCAATATGGGGCAGAGAAAGATGGGGGAGAGAGAGAAGAGAGAGAAAAGTAAGGTTTCCAGCTCTCTGTTAGGCTTGGTATCCTGGAAACTAAATATTTGTCTATCATGTAGACATACCTGGAAGACAATAAAAATGTCTGGAGGTACTTATGTTTCAGAATATTAAACGTGGGAAGGAAATGGAAGCTTTGAATCCAGGGTGGTCGGCAGATCACGAAGCTACTGGTGTTAGGCTGACAAACAGAGCAGGGGAATGTGAGCTTTTCTGATTCGTAGCCTAAGTGAGTCCTGGTGGTGCTCCATTCACCTGGCTGGGATACAATGGTGTCACACAACTCTACAGTCATACTATCGACTTTTTAAATAATCCTGCCATTCTGGTAATAATTCTGGTATAGCTGAGTTTGTTGCCTGAACATGGCTCTATGAGAGGTAAAGACTTTGAGGTTTCTGAAAGCAAAAAGTATAATGTAGAAGATGCTGATTTCAGCTTACTGATCTTTGTTTCCCCTTTGGACTCCTATTTTAATTTTGCTTTCTTATATTTATAAGCACTTCCAGTTTTGATCTGCCCTGCATCATTAAAATAAAAATGACTCCAGCATTCCCACTGACCTATTTTTGTCCTTCTATAGGGTCCAGTCTAATTTTATTTACTTATTTTTATTTTGGTGCCACACTGACGGTGGTCAAGGATTACTCAGGGCTCTATGCTCAGGGATCACTACTGGTGGTGCCTGTGGACCATATGGAGTGCCAGGCAGAACCTGGGGTTGGGGGTTCACTGTATTGTTTCTCTGGTTCCTTCCGTCTAATTTTTAAGAAAGATATTTAAGTTTCACCCACACGAATTATCTGCTTCCCTCTGCACTTTTAAGGCTGGAAAAATAGCCTAACCAACTAGTCTGACATACAACAATCTATATGTGTTTTGATGGGCATGCTTCTGTAAAGGTTATTTCTTATATCAAGATAAACATTTGCCAGGTGACTTCAGAGAAAATGGTCCTCAGTATTTTTAATACTTTATCAGTTGCTGAAATGTGGTTAACTGCAACAGGGCTGGAATCGGGAAGTGGTGATGGCTTCACCTTGGCTTTCCAGAGGCGGTACTTGGGGATGACATCCGAGTACAGCTGCCTGGCAACCTGTGGTGACTTCGCTATTTTGGGGACAGCCCACAGAGCGGGGGCATTTTTTAGTGGCCATGTGTCCACCCTGGAGATAGGAAAACAAAGTGGCCACAAGTAACCAACCTATTTTCGCCTGTCCTCAGAGCGAGTGTGGGGCATGGGGCAGGGCTGGATTGCATTCCATCCTCTCACTGACTGTGGGGTCCCCGTGTATGTAACAGAGACACGTCAGCACCAGCTCCAGGCCGCTAATGTCTGTAGCAGCTGTTAAACCTGCAACACATGACATAGCACCAGAGACCCACTCATGGGGTACAAAGCGTCCTCTATGTTTCCTTGAGTGGCAGAAGAATAAAATCACCCTTGCTGCTTCAGACTCTTCCGGCGGTGTTAGAAGGACACACTCATTTTCTCCCCTTGTCCTCAGTTCCCATTCAAAGGTTTCACTTTCATGGTCTGCAAAAATGGGGTAACTTGGTTTCTAGAGGACACGTGAGTCATTTCTGGATGACAATAACAGTCTCCTTTTAAAAAGCCTGCCAACCTCATTTTATGTGTAATGATAATCTGCTTCCCTCCCTCCACCACACATGATTTCTGTTATTCAACCAGCATGTCACTAACCAACAGTGTGTACCTACTCTGGACTCATTTCCCTCTT